AATCAGCTGGCCTCGGAATGAGAGCCTCATGGTGCCAAATCCACCCCACCAGGATGGCACTGCAGGGAGGAGTCACAGAGCTCTGATAGGACGTCTCACTGGGGAGGCATGTGGGACGGTGTCCCCAAGGTGCCTGACATCTGGCACGGGCCCCATGGACTCCTGTCGCCTCCATTCTCCCTATGGGTATAGAAGGGAGATAAAGCAATGCTGTATCTTCTTCCTTTCCTTCGGTCTCCAACACCTCCTTCTGCACAAGGCCTGGCCCGCGGCGGGGGCTGGATCAGGGTCTGCTGAGTGAGCAACTCCTGAAGGCCAGCAAGGAGGAAGCGTGAGGACAAACCCAAGGAAACCCTGCCTTAGTCTACAAGGAATCGCTTGATGGAATCTGTGGCCCCCATAGGTGGTTGAAGCAGAAAAGACAAAGGGATTCCAGAGACGGGAGGAGGTGTCGCCTACACAATTGGAAAATTGCACACAAAAGTCCAGATTTCAAGCTATTTTTAAAATATCTGAAGATCTGGCAACCCGGAGCCTGCACATCCCCATGGCAACACCAGCTGGTGCCGAGCGGCCGCTGCCCCCTTCAGACTGGACATGTGCTCTGCCGCTGTCCACGCCCCGCCGCTGCCTGTTGCCAGGACACCTGGCCCACCTCACTCCACCACGTCACCTGGCCCCCTGGGTTGGGTCATTTGGCCCCCTGCTTTATAAGACATTTGATGAGCAGAAAGCTGTGCCAGGGACATGGGACTGTGGTGGCTGTCCCATCAGCCTGCTGCTCAGAAGCCTCAGCCTGGGGTCCCCTCCCTCCAGTTCTTACACTGGCAGATGTCCAGTGTGTGGGGGCTTCCGGATCCACATAAATTCATTCCCTGAGCTGGGTTCCTCCCAGGAGGGCTCCAAAACGCAGACACTTCATCCTGAGGACAGAGATACAGTTCCCACCGTACGCCAGAAGGGGGCGACCCTCTGCCTTGTCTTCAGAGCTGCCCGTGAAGGCCATTTCTAGCCCACCCAGGGCCTAGCTCCCGCTGCTGGAGCACGGCCCCTGGGTGGTCCTGGGTTCCAGAGGACCCTGTGTCCCCACCCTTTGCCACTTGGGGTACGGCTGAGGTCCAGCCTGCCTGGCAACGTGGTGGGCTCAGCCAGGATTGGCCGGGCTACAGCATACTCCAGGAGCCTAGGGAGGGCCTCAGCCCACCCACCCACCTTGCAGCCCTTCTGCCAGCACCCCAGAAGCTGAAGGGCACCTCTCCGTCCTTGCTTCTCTTCCTCCTCTTCTGGGATGCTCAGCCCTCCTGAGGCCTGTTAACTCAGGGCTGACTCTCAAATTAAGTACATTGTGCTTGGCAATGTGTTGAAGCTTTGCATACTTTATTTAAAACCCCAACAATCCTATAAGGTAGGTTTAATCCCCATTTTACAGGTGAGGAAACTGAGTCTTAGACAAGGCCACACAGCTAGCAAGTGGTGTTATCAAGATGCAAATTCAGACCTGGGGAACCCCCTTCCCTAAATTGCCTCATTCCCATAAAGAAAATTCTAGAATCAGCCTGTGAAGTGGGAGAAAGGATTGTGGTTTGAGGGCAGAGGACATCCCCTTCAGGTCCAGCCTGAAACCCTCACTCACAGGCCACCTAATCTGTCGGAGCTGCCCCAGGACAGGGGCTGAATCTGGAGTCCCTAATAAGTCAGTTAAGAAGCCAAGGGCTAAGAGGCCCCCAGTCGCCACCAGGGAGAAATAGCTCTTGGCCCTCGGGGATTTACTAACCGCCTTGCCATCCCCACCTGGGCCACAGTCTGAGCAGCAGGACCCAGCCCCACATGTGCTACAGCTTCTGCCTGGGACCCTTCAGGGGGCGATGGGTGGGCAGGCAGCCAGCAGGGATACCTCGAGGGCTCAAATGACCCCATAGGAGCTTTATGGGGCGGCCAGGAGACCCAGAATCTGCACAAAGTGAGATCAGGTACCACTGAGCACAACTCAGCTCCTGGCTCCTCGTAGGTCACAAGCCTCCAGAGCTGCCCCTACTCCCACCCCCAGAGGGACAGAGAAGCCCTGGAAAGCACCAGCTCCTCTGAGACTATCACAGATATGTCTCAGCTCCTGAGACCAGGGCCACCTCGCTGTGTGGGAAGAGAAGTTCCGTCCAAGGTGAGTCATCCACTTTCCCTCCCACGTCCCCAATATGCCCAGCAGGTCCGTCCCCAATTTTACCTGTTGATCCTCCATCATCAAAGCCCAGTGTAAAGGCCGCCTTCTCCAGGCAGCCCACCCTGATCCAAGCCCCGAAACCTGGTCGTTATCTCCCCCTCCTAAGACCCCTAGGACCATGTGGACTTCTCCTGTGGAGTTGAGGTCAGTCTCCTCTGCACTATAATTTTTTCTGAGCTATCTCCTCTGACAAGAAGACCGGAGGGCAGGGCAGGTGCCAGTGCTCCTAGCACAAGGCCTCAGACACGCAAGCCCATGATGCACACTGGATGGATGGATGGATGGATGGATGGATGGATGGATGGATGGATGGACAAATGAGAGAGTGGGTAGGAGGCTGATGGCCCACAGAAAGTTCAGTGAAGTCTCCCGTAATTGCCCAAGATGCCCACACTTCCCTCCTGCTCCCAGGGAATAAGAGTCCCCTGTCTCCATATCACAGCTCCCCCCCTGCCTCAGTGAATTTAAAAGTTAAAAGACTGTCTACGGTGTGGGGGTGCTGGGGAAGCTGGGAATCAGAGCTGCTGGACCTCAGTGTCCCATAGATAAGATGAGGACATTAGACTAGATGATTTCTTGGGCCCTTCCAGCTTAAAACACATGTCCGTGCTGGGACCCAGCAGAGAACAGGGGAGACCGACTGAGCCCAGCTCAGCTCACAGTAGGCTCTGGGAGAGCTTAGACAAAAGATGAAAAGAAAGAGAAAAGGGTGGAGGAGGAAGGAAAGGAGAGAGAGAAAAAATTTATTTCCATATCCCAAATTAAAAAATGCATCTAGCATGTAAGATTTCCCAAAAGCATAGTATCTTTTTTTAAAAAAAAAAAAAGTTAATTTGAACATACTGAGTTTAGCATCACAGCATGTAAGAAATGATGGATCCCTTAACGTGGTGGAGACGCCGTGGGCACGCACAGCCCGGGGCACAGGACGCCGACAGGACGGATGGACGGAGGGCATGGGGGAGGTGAGGTGAGGGAGGGGACACTCTTCTGGCCACCTCCTTCCTTACTTAGAGCACCCCCTCCATTGTCTGCTTTATATATATTGATCTTATGAACCCAGGATATTGTTTGAATAAAAGGTTTCCGGTGCTTTTTTGAAAAAGCTACTTAAACTAATGAAGAGAAACAAGAGGCCCAGAGATAGGTGATTTGCCCAAGGTCGTTTAACAAGTGCATCAAACAATTCCTGATATCGTTAATCCAATCACAGCCATTAGGGGCTGAGGGGCGCTGCCCGGATGCAGCTGGCCCGACCGGACAGCTTAGATATGTCTACTCTGGCTCCAGGCCAGCAGGCTCAGGGGGAAGTCGCCAGGCTCCTTTAAACAACATTCCACTAGGACAGGAACAGATGGATAACCCAGACCAATTAGGAACCAGAAAACCTCCAAGAGGGAGAGTGCCCAGAACTGGGGTGGGGGTGGGGGGGCTCAGGGCGGCGGCCCAGCTTGCTGCAAGCCTCACAGTCGAAAACCTTCCTAAAACAAGCCCTTGGCTGGCTTGAAGTATAATTTAATCTTCCTTTGATGACTCCAGATATCGCCCTGCCTTGGGCCGCTCTGAGAACATCAATAACTGCTGGGCCCAGGTGGGAAGCAGAAAGGAGGGGCCGGACCCACGTCTACCGGCTGACCCTGCCTGCAGTCGGGGGGCAGCTGGAGGACACTTCAGGGGGAGAAGTGCAGGCCGGGCCCTGGGGCCTGGATGCTGCCTGGGTAGAAAGGGGGCCCCGAAGGAGAACGGGAAGCCTCCCCCAACCAAGAAGGGGAGCCCTAAGGGGCTGCCTCCACAGCCCCCCACAGCAGGTGGGAGGGGCAGCTCCCAGGGGGCCCTGGAGGTAGAAACAAAGAGTTAAAGGCAGGCAGCGGTGATGTTCAAGGCCAGGCTAGGTGACTGTGCTAAGGGAGAGGCAATACAGTACCAGGCCCCATGGATTTCCTGGGAAATGTTGGCTCTGAGGGACGGAAGTGGGCTTAGGGCCACACTGCCCCTGTGCTGCCACCTCCTGGCTGGGGGACAGTGGGCAAGTTACTTCACCTCTCTGCCTCCATCTCCTAATTTGTAATGCTAGCCTAGTGACAGGGCTGCCGTGAGGGTTAAACCAGCCTAGCGCTGGCTGCTAGAAGCCGGGGCCTTGGACTTCCCTGCCCGGAAAGGGCTGGAAGAGCCTTCGTCAGAGCACTGCAAGGTTGGCTCTCAGGTGAGACTGGATGCTTCGTTTTGTTTTGTTTGCCTTGTCTATATTTGCTACATTTTATGCGAGAAACACACATTATTGTATAATTAAAATAGTATTCAGAGTATGAACAGAGCAGTAGGGACTGCACTTGGTCCCCGGAGGAGGCAGCCGCTCAGAGAGGAGCCTGACCATCGGGGCAGGGGGCATGGAGGGGGCAGGTCACCTGTGTCAGAGACCCAGCCGGGGAGGCCCTGGCTGCCCTGGCAGCCCAGGGACAGATGCAGGTGACACTGTCTGTCTGGGTGTGCCCTAACCCTTCCCAGGAGGCAAATCCCTGAGCCTCTACCCAGGACGCGCAGGGCCGGAGGAGGCAGAGCGGGAGAGGACAGCCTCTGCTCAGGGCGGCAGCAACTCTCCCCCCGCTATCCCCACCTCAGAGGGACCCTGGACCCTCAGGGCTCCGGCTAGACCCCCTCCCAGCCTCTCCCTAACGTGAGCCTCTCTGGGCTGCCCGTCCCTCCGTCCAGCCCGCAGCCCTCTCGGCTCAGCCACGCCACCGCCCTGCCCCCGCCGGCTGAGGCAGCCCTCTGACGAGAGCTGGGTTTGGTGGGTCCACAGCACTCTCCCTGCTGGTGATACTAATCCTCAAAAGAAAGTCAAACATTAGCCCGAGAAACAGCTTATGCCTTATATAAGCCCCCCTCGGGGGAGGCACAAACACAGCTTGTTGGAGCTGAGCTGCCCGACTACAGCAGCTACCAGGCCCTAGGACAGATCAAGGACCTCAGCCACACTGACCACCAGCCCCACCGGACCCGGACCCAGCCACCAGGTGAGGAAGGGTGGGGGGCCCCCAGCCTAGGCAGCCAGGAACCCCCGAGAAGCTACTACGGCCAGGCCCTGCTTCTTCATTGCGACTGGCCAAGCCCCTAATGCCCTCTGAGACCTGCTTGGGTTCTTTCCGATACCCTAGCATGGTGGGCCCAGCCCCAGAAACAGCCAGAAGCCTCTGGGCTGGGGGAGGTCTTCCTCAGCAGGCAGCCTGAACTCTGCTAACCCCGTTTGTCTGCCTGGAGCAATCAGGAATGCCCCCCACCCGACCCACCCCTGCCATCTATCCTGTGTAGCCAACATCCACGACATCCCTATATCCCTGCTCTGTGGCCTGTACTACCCTATACATGCAGTTGGACACACACACACTCACAACCACAGACACACACACACACACACACACACACACACACCTGAGCTCACACAGTTTTGCCCTTATGTTCCAGTCTAAATATGCACATACCTGTAGACACCCCTGTGTCCATACACGCAGACACACACATACACCTGTGAACCCGCAACCCTCCATGCAGCTGAGTACACCCTCGTGCATCCACACGTGAATCTATGGACGTGCATACCTTTACACATTCACACACGCACCCTTCCACATGCTCGTGCCCACCCTCCCACATGCGGTTGTCACCGCTCCACAGGCCAACACATCACACACGCACACACATACCTCTCCCCGGCCCAGGGCCTCACCCACAGCTCTAGCTCGTCTCGCCCCAGTGCCATGACCTTCTCCGAGATCCTGGACCGCGTGGGCAGCATGGGCCCCTTCCAGTTCCTGCACGTGGCCATTCTAAGCATCCCAATCCTCAACATGGCGAACCACAACCTGCTGCAGATCTTCACAGCCGCCACCCCTCCCCACCACTGCCGCCCACCCCCCAATGCCTCCGCAGGGCCCTGGGTGCTCCCCATGGGCCCGAATGGAAAGCCTGAGAGATGTCTCCGTTTCGTACATCTGCCCAACGCCAGCCTGCCCAACGACACCCAGAGGGCCACTGAGCCATGCCTGGACGGCTGGGTCTACAATAGCACCGGGGACACCATTGTGACAGAGGTACGCCTGGGTAGACCCTCTCCCTCTGCTAACGGCAGGCACTCCATTCGCCCTGCACCACCCGTGACAGCGGAGGAGCAGGGGCCTGGGCTGCCGAGGAGCCTGGGCCAGGCCACTGGGCTGGCGAGGAGGAAGGGTCTGGGTGCAGGTGCACACCAACCAAGGCTTTGGCTTCGCCATGCTCGCAGTGCAAGCGTTTCTTCTACAAACAGCTAGTGAGGGCCGGTTCTGTGACAGGCACGGTGCTAAGCTCTGGGAATACAGAAATGCACCGTCCCCGCTCCCATGGGGGCCCACCACCTAGTGGGGTTAGCACCAGTTAATGAATGTACAGCACACAGTGTAAAATTACAACTTCAGAGTGACCTTAGACTGTGACCCACCCCTGAGCTGGGTGTGGAGGGGGGTGGGCGTTGGAGGAACCCTCCCTAAAGAAGCAGCTCCGGGGCTGAGATATGAGCATCGGGCAAGGGTTAACCAGACGACAGGGGAAAGGAGGAAAATTCCACGTTCTGCAGAGGCCCCAAGAGGGTGGGCGTGGGGGGAGGGGCTTCATGGCGTGGAGGGTTGAAACACCCCTGCGCGGACGTCCATCCCTGCCCTGATGCGCTGGCTCGCACCTGCCGTCCCTAGGTGTATTGAGTTACATGGGCTCGTCAGTGGACAGACAGGCCAGTCAGGGGACAATGACAGGGGGAAGATGAGCAAATGGGAATTGGCGTTTATTGAATAACTACTGACTGCCAGGCACGTTTTGGTGCTTTGCAGACATTGTCTTGTTTGGCTCCGACAATGATGCTCTGTCGAAGGTGATTTCTATCTCCCCTTACAGATTTAAAAAACAAAACAAAACACTGAGACTCAGAGAAGGGGGGTGATTGTCCAGTACAGTGGGTTAGTTTGGGAACCGGAATTTAAAGCTAAAGCCCGTAGGAGGTGCAGGGAGACAAATATTTATGAGAGTTCAAAAGAGGGAGAAAGCACTGATGAGGGAGGCTTCATGGAGGAGGTGGCATCTGAGCAGAGACCCACGTTTTCACTCACCCTTGGGTGCTGTGAGCCCCTCAAGGGCAGGATCCTGCTTTTGCCTCACGAGCAGATCTGCACGGCAAAGCCCTACCTGGAGCCCGTCCCGCGCCAGCCACGCTGTGTGTGTGGCTCCCGGGAGCCCGTGAGATGTAGTCTCTGGGAGGGAAGCATTGTTATCTCGGTTCACAGAGGTGGAAACTGATGCCTGGCCTGGTTCCACGACTTTCCCAGCTTTACATGGCCGGAACCGGGCAGAGGCAGGATTTGAATCTAGGACTATCTGCGTTCAGAGTCTGTGTGATTGTTACTTATTTGTTTAACAGATACTTATTTATATATAAAGCTCTTAGCTGTGTTCTAAGCACTTTGCAGATATTAACACTTCTAACCTTCCTGACAACGCTATACAGTGTTCGTATCATGACCCCTTCCGTCTGTGAGGTGGGCAACCGAAGCACACAGAGGTTACGTGGCTTGCTCAAGGTCACACCACTCGTCAGTGGCAGATTCAGGTCACACCACTCGTCAGTGGCAGATTCTGAACACGGGCGCCTGCCTCCAGGGCTGCGCTCCTAAACATGATGTCTGCTGCTCGCATGTCCCTAGACTGCATCTCCTCCCTGCTGTGTTCGCTGTTTCTCCCCAGCATCAAGCATAGCGCCTGCAACACGCCCAGCACACACACTCATTGCTATCCAACGCGTTACACTGAGAACGGTGGCAGTTTGGTGGGTTACACAAGTTTCCCAAGGCAGGAGTTTTCCACTTCTTTGCTGGCTGCAGCGCCCCAAGCACCTAGAACAATGCCAGGCACAGAATGAATGAGGATGCTCGGAGAGCCGAGAGGCCAGAGAGGGGTGTGGGCCAGCCTGGAGCAGGTGGAGAGGAGGGCTCACTGGGGCCAGCAGCGCCTGCTCAGTGCGAAGGAGAGGTGGCTACGCAGCGGGCGGGAGTGGGCAAGCGCGCTGCAGGCAAAAGAACAGTGGGGGGGGCAAATGCAAAGTAACAGAAGCATGAAGAGAACAGAACAATCAGGACTGCAGGTGCCAGGGGACAGCTGACTCAGCAGTGGGATACAGAAGCCCCGGACATGGGGCTGGAAAGGACAACAGGAGGGCCTGGCTTGGATGCCGAGGCCCTGTCCTGAGGCAGTGGGGAGCCATTGAATGTGCTGGTGTTAAGCAGGAGAGTGGTGAGCTCAGATCACCTTCTAAGGATCATCACTTTGACTGCCTGGTAGAGAGTGGCCTGTAGACAGTATGGCAGCAGGGAGGCCTGTCTGCAAGTTGCACAGGGATCCAGGACAAAGGTGACGGATAGAAAGGACAGGCAGAATAGATACCAGAGAGATCAGGGGTTGGAATCTGTGAGGTCTGGTAACTGAATGTAACAGTAATGTGAGAGGTGAGGGATGGCGGGAGCCAAAGATGCCCCAACACCTGGAAGTCAGTGTCCGAGTGTCTGGGTGACTTGCTGTGTGCATATAGGGCCCGGGATGACAAAGAGGAGTAAAAGCCACCACCCATGCAGATCCTCCAAAAACATGGAAGACAGCCAAAGAAACAAAATCCCATAGGGAACAATTAAATAGTAATCGTTGCTAACATCTCTTCCATGCTCGCCATGTGCCAGATGGTTCTAAGCATGTCGCACATCTGAACGAAGTTAATCCTCACAACAGCCCTCTGAGGTTAGCACCTTTACTAGCACATGTTTGCAGACGGGGAAACTGAGGGACAGGTCACTGGCCCAAGGCACCATATTTCGTACATGGTGGAGTGGGGAGTCACACACAGGTAGCCGGGCACCAGAGGCCTTGGCCCTCAAAACTGCACAGCCCCCCTGCATGCCCCGGGAGGCTGACTGTGCAGCCCGCTGCCCCGCGGAGGGTGCTGCTTTGTGCTGTGCACAGTTGCTCCTTCCCGCCTTTGTAGCTCCCCCAGGGCAGGTACCAGGTCTCTCCCACCCATCTCTGTCGTCTCAGGACTAGGTGCATGGCAAGTGCTCAGTTGATGCTGAATGAAGGACATGCCCTCTCAGAGCTTCATGGAAGGGACGAGAGGGACAGAGACACTGCTGACTGCTGGAAGCAGCTTGTGCTCCAGGACACGCCTCAGGCAGCCCCAGGGAGCCTGGCCAAGAGCAGAGGCCGCAGGCCTGGTACCCAGACCAGCATCAGTCCACACTTGTGCCAGCTGAGCTCCCAGTCACCACTCCAGCAACTGGGACAGTGTGCATCTCCATTCCAGCAAGATGCAGGGGTCACCAGGCCTCGGGGTACTGCTGTACCCTTCTGCGGGTCAGGAGTGCATCGGGATCTGGCTCCCTGAGGACACTCAGCTGTGAGAGTTCATGGGAGGGGACCCCGCCCCGTCACTGAAGCATCAGTAGCTGGACACAGCAAAGGCAGAGCCCTTTGGCTGCTCTGTTTGTGGTTCAGCCGTGGCAAATCTGGGCTCCATCTGCTTCAGTGGGGCGGGGTGGGCTTCTGGCCCCCATGTGGTAGAGGCAGAGCAGCGGCTGGGCCACCTATGGAGAGGTAGATCTCTAGCACGGAGGCAGGGGACTGGATGTGCTGGCTCTGGGGAGGTGGTGAGGAAGGCAGGGTTATTTGGCAGTGAGCGAGGTCAGTCCAGGTGACCTCACTTAGTAGAGGCGAACAGACAGTGTGGGATCCTGAACTAGAGTCCTGCAGCCAGAGTTCACATCGTGACGCTGCCAATTATTAGGAGTGTCGCAATTCCTGGATGTCTCAGTTTCCTCATCCATTGAAAGGGCTAAGAAAGCAAGTGTGAGGGTGAAGGAGATAATGCAAGCGCAGCACTCGGCACCGGGCCGGGTTCGGTTCATGCTAGCGGAGGCTGCTGTTGTTGTTACTGTTGTTAATAGGAATGTCTGAGAACTGGAAAGTTAGTCCCCACCGGAAGAGTGCAGGGATCACCTCGTACAATGGCAGTGAGCTCTCACAGCTCTCCGGATGTACCCAGGCTCCCAGACTCCGCCACCCTCCTGCCCCCACCTGGCCCTGCTGTGCTGCTCAGATCCAGCTCCACCCCCACAACCAGCGACCTGGCGAGTCACCTCCCCCTTCCTGCTTCAGTCCCCGCATCTGTAGAGTGGGGGTTACAAGGAGCCTCCCTCCTGGAGGGGCGTGGGGGTGGGAGGGCTGAGCCAGTGCAGCGGGCCACACAGGAACGGAGGGCAGCCTCCCTCCCAATTCTGATCCCCTAAGCTTTCCTGCCAGGGGTGACCACAAATTCCTTTCTCTTGGTGCAGCAGAGACAGGGTTGGGATTTTTCAGAATGAGCTTTACTAGGACATTAAGAGGAAACAAAAGCCTTTAAGTCTGGGCAGCAGAGAGCATGGATTCTGGGTGCTGGGCTCCTAAGAGAGGCGTGTAGCCCACAGCCCACTCCGCTGAGCCTCAGACCTGGGGCCTGGGCCTGGGCCTGGGCCTGGATGAGCAAGGCCCATCTCTGTAAGGCCCCTGGGCTTCCTCTCTGGGCCTTGGGCCTCCCTGTCCTGTCTCCAGGGCATAAGAAGACCGTCCCCCCAACCCCTACACAAGTCCCTGGAGGTCCTGCGTCAGCCGCTGGAAAAGCAGGAACCTGCCCAGTAAGGGCCTCCCAGGAGCCAGGCTCCTCCGTGGGGAGGTGCCCCTGCCAGGTCTCCGGCCTGCCCCCTCTGACTGCCTCCACCCCTGTCCCCAGGTCCCCAGGCTGCCCAGCTCCTGGCCCACTCGTGCACCTGTCGGCCCAGCGCACTCCCGCTTCACAGCCTCGAGCCTCCAGGCTGACTCCTGCGCAGGGCCCGACAGCCCCACCCCAGCCACTTTTCTCACCTAGAAAGCCCCTGATCACCTGCACAGAAGGGGCCTGGGGCCGTCCTGTGGGCTTTCCGGGGTCAGGAACTCACTCAGTGAGCACCTACTGTATGCAGGACCCTGGGCTGGTGCTTTGCATTTCTTCTCA